TATTAAGGTATAAATAGTTACTATTACTGCTTTCTCTATCGTTTAATGGTACATAAAGTTAGATACTATGCTTATCACTGACTCGTCAACAATTTATACTACGTACTTTAAGCTATAATAGAAATAGAAGTAAATTGCTACAAGTAAACTATAAAATATCAATGTCTGTCTCGAAAGAAGTATTGATTGGTGCTGCTCGTAGAGAAAATAATGGAAAGAAAACAGAGCAAAGAGAAGTGATCGAATGTTATATTGTATTTGAAATAAGAGGATAAATAACTAAAAAAAATTATACTGAGTATAATTATGAGGAATAATATTTATTGTGAACATATTGTAACTATTCAATTACGGTAACAACACAATCTTTTTGGAATACTGAATACAGATCTATTCGCAAATTTTCGAATTAGAAGTTGACTCTTCAATCGTAATTGGTGTAGGTACTCAGAATCTTCCGGTCATTTGTCAAAGGATCTAGATTTAGTTGGGCATATGTACATTGATTAGGATACAAATGTATATACTCGTATATGGTCAATGCCAACATGAGTAATATGTACACATTAGTATTTAGGTATCACCTACACAATTACCTATGTATATATACATAACTTGCTAGTTTTGTAAATATGCAATATATAATTACACAACAAGGAATTACCAGGAACAGAAGTAATACGATTATAAAATATTTTCTTCCATGGTTTTCTTACTTTTGTATTCCTAAAGTTACTGTAATATAAACGCGTATTTCTCTCTTAAAATGTTTTTCCCACTTGTAAATAATCTTGTAATAACCCCAAATATGTCGTTTTATAATGTTACTTACATTATAAACTTCTACTAGAAATAGTAAATAACTGTCGCTTTCCTCGAGAAGTAACCTAGAAACTATAAGATATTAGTATTAATAATGATTATTGAAAACATCTTGTACTATAATTTAAATGATATATTAAGCATTTGCTTATATATTATAATTTTATAAGGAACTAATTAGAATTAATTTTATTAAAAACACTCATAATTCACTCATTACTCCGTATCTATATCGTAGTTTTCTGTAGAACTTGAATTTGAAGGTTCTATTTTCTCCACAGCAAAATTTTCGTTCAAATTATCTCGTCGAGATCCTTTCATTATTTGAGATTTAAAAATGAAATAATTTCAAGTAATCAATAAGTGCAGACTGACAAATATTTTCTAGATAATATGTTATGAGGAAATGAATATATAAAAATATTTAATTTGATCTTCCTATGATTATATTACAGATAGATATACTTATAAAATAATCAATAATAGTAAAATTTTATCATAAAATATTCGATATCGTTGCAATTTATTTAACGGATAACTTATCGTTTATGGGTTGTTATGTATTGGTGATGATTGCACACTCCGTGTACTTACTATATATACACTGATGTCACATGCAAGAAAGTGCTTATTGCTTAGTCATTTTCTGAGAATGAAATGACGACATACAAACAAATACGTATTTTGTAATATATAGATATTTATATAACTATTGCATACGCTGGCAAAATTCTTAATACACTTTTTAAAACTCTTGTTTTTTTATACTTTAAATAAAATTAAATTTCATCTTTGAGGTCTGGCTGACATTGATTGGTGGATCATGTTTAGTAGAAAGAGGATACACGAGCATTATGATATAAAACAGATATTTTTAAGAGAACTCTTGAATGATAATAAAAATTATAAAATATCCGTTAAGTATTTACATTATTTTATTTTGCTATGGTTTTCCTTAATACTCATGATTACTAAATGAAAGATGGCATCAGTATGTCGCTATTACGTGATTTATATTTATATATCATATAGTGTATAGCCCGAAATAATAATAATAATAATAATAGCCTTTATTCAGATCAACTTAACCTAAAAAACAATATTCTAAAGTAAACTTAAAACTTAAAGCAAACTTAAACTTATCTATATATATCTAGTATTTGCTGCTTTTTTATCTTTTGCAGATCTGTCTGCCAATCGGCAAAGGCCTCCTCCAACCTCTTCCATTCTAACCTTTCTAAAGCCACCCTGTTCCACATCACTCCTGCCACTTCTCTTATATCATCATCCCACCTTTTCTGTGGTCTGCCTCTTTTCCTTTTGCCTTCCCTGGGATACCACCTTGTCACCTTCTTACTCCATTTGTTATGACCTCTTATTGTGTGCCCTGCCCATCTCCATTTGAGTCTTTTTATTTTCTGTACTACGTCTATGGTTCTTGTTTTATTTCTGATGACACAGTTTTTCAGTCTGTCTGATCTTTTGACATTTAACATGCTTCTCTCCATAGCATATTGGCAAGTTGCTAGTCTGTTTAACATTTCTCGAGTTAAAGTCCATGATTGGCAGCCATACGTAAGGACGGGTAGTATGCAGGTATTGAATAGTTTACTTTTGATGTTTATATGAAGTTGTTTGTCTTTCATAGCCTCCCTCAAACTCCAGTATCTTCTCCAGCTGTTCGTAATTCTTCTTTTCACTTCCTCACGCATAGGTTCTTTTTGGGTTATGAGTTGTCCCAGATAGATGTATTCATCAGTGTAGTTTAATTCGATGTTTTTTATCTGTATCGTGGTTTTCTCTCCATTTGTCATCATTCTAGTCTTTTCTGGGTTAATTTTTAGTCCTACTCTCTCACTTTCTGTTGCTAGATCTTCTATCATTTTAGTGATGGCTTCAGGTGTTTTGGCGAATAACACTATGTCATCAGCGAATCTTAGGTGCGTCAGTGAAGTGCCGTCTATATTGATCCCAAGATTTTCCCAATTGAGTTTTCTAAAAATTGACTCCAGTACCGCCGAGAATAATTTAGGAGATAAGGGATCTCCCTGTCTGACTCCTTTTCCTACTTTGAATGGCTGACTTTTCTTTTCTAACTGGATTCTGGCTGTACTATTCCTGTACACGTTTTTTATTAATCTAATGTATTTAAGTTCAATCCCTTGTTCAACTAATGCTTCCCATATGTTTTTATGTAGAAGAGAATCGAATGCTTTGCTGTAGTCGATAAAGGAAATGTAATATGTCAGCTGGTATTCGCTGTATTTCTCAATAACTTGACGAACTACATGGACGTGGTCTATTACCGAATAATCCTTACGAAATCCCGCCTGCTCGATGGGTTGGTGCTCGTCTAGCGTTCTTTCAATACGTTTTAGAATGATCTTTGCGAAGATTTTGTAAATGTTTGACATAAGGCTGATGGGGCGATAGTTTCCTATTTCGTGTTTATCTCCTTTCTTATACAACAGGATAATGTTTGATTCAGTCCATTGCTGGGGGATTATTTCCGTGCTTATGATGTTGTTAAACATATCTGTAAGAACAGGTGTTAACACTTCCTTTCCTTGTCTTAAGATTTCATTGCTTATGCCGTCAGGACCTGGTGTTTTATCTGCCTTTTGAGTGTCTATGGCTTTCTCGACTTCAGCTTGAAGTATGGTAGGGATGTTTGAGGTATCCGCCAAATCAATTTCGTCTTCTGTTGTGTTACTTTCGTACAGTCTCTTGTAATAAGAAGTTGCTATATCTATTATTTCTATTCTTCGATGATTCCATTTTCCCCTGCGATTTTTCATTTTAACAATCCAATCCTTTGAATTCCTCAACTCTCTGTACGCCTTTTTGACTCCACCCGTTTCGCTTATAATTTTTTCTATGATTTCCATTCTATTTTGTTTCCTGTCCTTTCTTATGCTATCTGTAATTTGTTTACTTATTTCCGTTAAATGTTTTCTTCTGTCCTGTATATCTTTAGTGTTAATTAAGTGGTTTCTCGCTTCTAGTAGTTTTGTGGTATTTGTTGTTAGCCATTTTTTTGGTTCAGTTTTGTTATTTGCAATTAGTTGTATTTGGGTTTTTATAGTATTTTCTATCCAATTGTATCTTTCTTGTGTTCCTAATTCTTTTGTGTTAGATTCGTAATCTGTAAATTTGTCTTTTAGAGCGATTATTATTTGTTCTAACTGATGTTTTCCAAGCTTAACGTTTCCTAAGTCATGCCTTGGTCTAGGTTTCTTTGGTTGATTTGATATTAGTTCTGCTCTTATTAGTTTATGGTTAGTGTTGAAGTTCAATTTCTTGATTACGGTAAAGTTAGAGAAGTAGTTTTTTCTGTTGGACATTATAAAATCAATTTGGTTTTTTGTTTTGCCATCCGGCGAGATCCATGTCCACATGTTTTTCTTATTTTTCCTGAACACAGTATTTAAGATAGTTAGATTATTTTCTAGTGCAAAGTTTGTAATATGTTCTCCATTTCTACTTCTGGGTTTATTACTGTATGTAAAAGGGCCCAGTATATTTTTCTCTTCCGGGCGCCTTTCTCCAAGTTGGCCGTTACAGTCTCCCATTATTATAAGGTTTTTATGACCATGCTCGTGAATCGCATTATTTAGATCAAGGTAGAATGCATTCATTGTATCTTGACTCGACTGTTCAGTAGGCGAATAAATTTGTACTATTGACCAAGGATCTTTGTATCCAGGTAATTTCAAATTCATTATCGCAATACGCTCCGATATACCTACAAATCCTTCCACGTGTTTTGTTATATGTTTCTTGACAATAAATCCAACCCCATAGAGTCCCGGGGTCTCTCCTATATGGTAAAATGTGTAATCTGGATAGGATATGATATTTTCACCCATTCTTCTCACTTCACTGAGGCCAACAATGTCCCATTTGATGTGTTTTAAAGCATACATAAGTTCTGTAAGGTTTTCTTCACTTTTCAGAGTAAGTACGTTGAGTGCTGCGATAAAGATTTTAGATTTCTGAGCTATATTGGAGTTATTGTTTTTGTTGTTTTTATTTTTATTGTCACTTATTGTTGGAGGGTTGTGGTCTCGTTCCCCCACGAGGACCAGTCGGCTTGGGGGAGGTTGGTATATTCTTGATTCATTGTTGCCAGTTTCTTCGGTTGGTTTTGGTTTCCGTTTGCCGATTCTTAATTGTTATTGTTTTCCTGTAGTAGTTATATTTGAAAGAGAGTTAGACCTACCCCGCATCGTATCAAAAACGTTTGTCCTGTTTGATTTGATTGAAGCAATCTGTTGTTTTTTAGGTTGGTTAATGGGTGATAAGGGGTGATGAGCAATGGGTGAGGTAGATGATTCTCTTTTCCGTTTATCTTGGTTCTTTTTATTCTCTATAACGATTAGTTTGTCATATTTCAAATAAGCTATATTGCCTTTTTTCTTTTCTTCTGCTAGCTTGGCTTGTAACGTTTTTCGCTTTTCTAACACTTCTTTTGAGTAATCTTCACTGATATTGATTTTGCTGAGGTTCTTTTTGTTTTTAATAATTTCGTTCTTTTTCCAATTGCTTACAAACGAACAAAGTACTGGCCTCGATTTTTTAATTTCTCTATTTTTAGTACCTAAGCGGTGAATTTTGTTGATTTCGTAATCTTCTATAGTAATATTCAGATCTTGTTTCAGATGCTCCTTAAATTCTTTTAGTAATTCGAAAGTTGATGTTTCTTTTTCTTCCAGGCCAAATACTATGATATTATTTTTCTTCTCCGCTCTTTTCATAAAATCAATTTCTTTTTCTAATTTTTCTACTTTGATTTTCAAGGTTTTGTTTTCTTCCACTAAAGGGATTAACTTATCATCGATTTTGTCCATAATACTTTTTGTGATAGAATCCTTCAATTCAGCGGTTTGGCTTTGCATCTCAATTTTCATTTTGTCAAATAATATTTTAAATTGACCTTCCATTATATTGTTATGAAGTTGTAACGTAAGTTGGAACGTAATAGTAAAATTTATTTTTGTGGTTAGCAACACTGGTTGTACTGTCAGTGTCTCAAACGTCAGTCTTGTTGACGTTGCCAAGACAGATGTCGGTAAATAATGTCTGTCGTGCTTTGTAACCTCAAATCAGTAATGATGTTGTTATTCTAATTTATCAACAATCGCACAAATCTGGTTATCTTTAAACACTTCACAGATGTTTTAGTTGCGTTTTGTGGCGAAGTTTGAACCAAAAGCTCGCTTTAACTATTTTTATTCACTTAATTTCTTCGGAAGGTTCTCACTATGGTGTTGACTGTTCTAACGCCGGAAACGGAAATCAGCCCGAAATATGAGTTAAACATATATATCCATCCGTATATTCTTTTGTGTCATAGAATAACAGCAAAGAGGGCTTCTAGGTTTAATTCATATTCCGGCTCTTCTGCTTTGTGATTCTTTTCGGTTTTACCTGTTTGGTGGTAGTGATCTTATACAGAAAAATAATGTGCCTAATGATGGATTTTAGTATTGTTCTTTATTTTTTATATTTAGGCTTTATATACTATAATAACTCTCAAGGCATAGATCCATGTGAGTTGAACATCATGTTTTGGTGTAATCTGACATGATTAATACACGATGATAATAATATTTTAATCTATGACACCTTCTTTTAGAAAATTTGGAAAAATCAATTTTTAATGAACACTAGAATATTAGCTGCTACCATAGAATATTAGCTGATACCATAGAATATTAACTAACACAATAAAAAGAAAACTTTTCGTTTTTTTTTACAAAAAAAATTCTTCATTATTTTGGCCGATTTTTTACATATTTGCAACGCTTTGGTAGCCCCTCTATCGCCTATTTGATCAGTGCGCGGGCGAAACGCCGCGCTACACGTATTGCTAATTTGTAGCTGAGCCAATTCGAAAATTGTATATTTAGTTGATTTTCGGTAGTAGGTACTTCCGGCCGAGCGCGATGCATGACGTAACGCTATATCGCTAAACAACGTACATATGTGCCGTGGATCCGAGCTAGAATTATCCGCAACACTCACTAAAATATTTATATTATTTATACATAATATATGTATGTATATAACATCTTTATAATACAAGGGAATATTAAGAAGTATTAATTAATTATTTTTTTGTATTTGAGTACATACATATCATATATTGTCATTTAAGAGAGCAGTTTTTACTAATCATTTTGTATATTGATACATAGCTAAAATGGAAGTAAGTTTAAAATAAAATAATTGTAAAACTCACACAAGTTTTAATGTAAATGCTCTAAGAAGAAGAAAATAAACTTTTAATTAAATCAAACCCATCGATTTATTACATTACACAATTTATAATATGATACTAGCGACTTACCCTCGCATTGCTCGGGTGCGAATACTTGCATCTGCCTTATATTTTAAATGATTTTTTATAAAATCTATATTTGCGGGGCTATTTACGTTACGCGTTTAATCTTAAATATTATGTTCGCCCTCCAATTATTAAGTATGAGGTGAAAAATTCTAAGTTATAGAGCTTCCAAAATAGTTTCGAAGATTTTTTTTTTTACAAATAAGATACGTTGAGTAGCCTTCGCGATAATGTGTTAAACACACTTTATTTCACATTTCTGCTGTTGATAAAATAATAAAGTTAATATAATAAATTGATAAAGTGCATGCGTAAATATTTTCCATTTAATCACACAACACTTTAAATGTGTGGTGGTATGGAATCCTCAGTCTGCGGATGTGACTTATCGATTTTTATTTTATCTCCTTTAGTTATTATACAATAGTTAAACCTACTCAATATTATAATTTAATATCAAAAAATATTAAGAATGGTTTTTTTTCTAAAGCAAGTTTTAGGCCTCTGTTAGCCGGATTATAGTAATTTACTTTCCTACCTAGGCTAAATAAATTTTTCATATAGGTACTACGAATAAATAATAAGATTTATTCGTAGTATAGGTATCATTTCTTTCTTCTTTTTAACCCACTGCGGCGAAGTCCAAACGAGGGTTATGTGTTTGACCTGTAGGTATGTACTTATGTATCCGATCCTACGTTTCTTGGTAATTACTAAACGACTTAACCGATTTTGATGATTCACACGTTATTCGATTCGTCTTAATAACGCGAGTGTTATAGGGTACATAGATATCATTAAAAATCAAAATTGCGGAACCTAGGTGCCAATTTGTGTGTTTTGAAATATGATCAAGGGGTTCATTTAATAGAACTAGATAATGTAGGTAATATATCATGTAAATTGGTTAATATAATGTGAAACTATCAAATATCAGCTAAAATATTATGCGTTAATCGGAAATTCAGTCTATCTAAATAGATTTCCATTGATTTGCGTTGCATTTGCGTGCTGACACCCAAGTTCAGTTTTTATTACTTTTTAGTTCCTTGAAGTCGATGCAGATTTATTTTTTTATAAATTTTGATTTACCTTTGATACATTCATGCTTAATATTATATTTAGTTATTGGTTGGAAATATAAAATAAATAGGTATAGGTAGTAAGTAAGTAATAATTTGGAAGCCAAAATCTTTATGTTAATGGACTTCATAATATCTAATTGGCATTGTTTAACTGAATTGGCATGGAAAAATGAAATTTAAATTCGTCAATTCTGAGCGATATATAACTACTAGGTATGCAATATTCATATAAATATTGAAATCACAAAAAATAAAACTAGCAGTCTGCTTCGACTTTTCTCGCCTGTTGGTTTTTTAAAAACCTCCAATAATAATGTTTTTCATAGAAAGATCTTTGCGACTCTCGTCCAATATTGGTTAAATTCTTATTTCTATGCACACAAACTTTCGTAGTAGTGCCAACGACTCGCGTACGACGTCTGCGTACATTCTGAGCTGATGAACTTAAAAAAAATCAGACTACCCCCAGTATGATCCGCGGTACGTGGAGTAAAATATTTTTAAACTCCGCTAATAAATTAACATAAAAGTGTACCTTGTACGTGGACTTAGACGTGGAAGGTCCAGGCCCGGAATCCTTAACTTTGCGTAGACACTACTAGGGATGTTTGTGTGTACCTATGTAATATATAAACCATACCCATAACCGATCCGACCGAAAGTACTTTTATTTTACTTTAACAATTCAAAGGGAGCTCTCGTCACTCAAACCGAAAAATATCGAACGCCTAATGATAGTTGTCATTCTAAACTGACAGTAAAAATAAAGATACCATATAAAGGCAAAAATCAGGGCGTGTCACAATTTTTGTATATTTTTTTTCTTGTTTTGCACTGGTAACGAATATACGAGTGTCTATGGTACCTGCTTGCATTACCAACCACTGGGTTTCACATAATATACTCAACGGATGTCGCCAAAAATCAAAATCCCAACCAAAAATACGTTTTTATATTTATGCCCAAAGCGAAAAAAACTGGCAATGTCCATGACATACCTACCGGTAAAGAAAGAGGATTGTCCAAAATCTACATACTCGTAGTAAAAAGTTACTGCATACTTTGATCTCAATAAAAATATGTATTATACTTCTAACTTTTTATATTTCTTTTTTCTCATAACCTATTCATTAGGACATTTCCTGTTCATTGCCTGTCCCTTCATATAAAAATGATACACACCCGCATTCATATCGATATAAACGCGAGAATCGCTTATGTTGACAGCGCGTTCACTGAGCGTCGAACACTCGTTCGATCGCGATAAAAACTCGTCATGTAGGTACATATTCATGATTTTGTGATTATTTTTTGTGTATATTTGAGTGGGTCCCTGCTAGGTTTGAATTCTAAAATCGATCCGGTAGGTGGCGCTGCAGTCGGTGTGTCACTAAATTTTCATAAAAGCCTCCATTTTCGGCGCAGTAAATAAATTTAAATTGTTAATTAAACAATATAAAAATCGATGTGTGTATGTTGTGAGGTGTGTATGTTTTCTATGGACTCCAAAACAGCTGGAGCTATTTTGATGAAATTTTCAGGTAATCTTCAGATTAGCCCAGCGGGTGATCCTGTGATACGCTAATATACTACTTCATTATCTTAGGTTCTGAAGTTATAAGACAATGTAGATTGTTTGTAGAAAAGATAGTTTTTAAGTTTTAACTGATTTTATAATTCAGTAATGCCTAATTTATTCGTGTTTTCCTACATGCAGTTCTTTTTTATTTCTATACATTTCTGTAAAATTAAAGTAAAACAGTAAAACAATGATAATAATAATCATCAACATAGTAGGTAAGAACTTTGAATCGATGTTTTAGGATTCAATATTTTGTCCAGTAGGTTTCCATTCCCATATACATATTGTATATACATTTATGTGGGTAGGTACTGGCTAATATTGATCGGAGTGCTCTTCAAAACACTACTGCGATCCGACAAATCTCAAAATTTTTCTGATGCATAATGAACATGGTGATCAATATTTTATTATATATAAGTATATCAATACTAGAACGGTGCTTTAGTCTCAAAACAAAATCATCTTTAAAATAATAGTGTTTATTTATTTCATATGCCCGTGGCTGTATTATTGAAGATTAACTTATGTGATATATAAATAAGCATATAGGTAATCTTTCGGCCAATAATTTATCTTTACTAATAAGAAATTTCAATATTACATTGTCAACAGCGTTTTAGTAATATTATATTCAATTAGAATGAACAGATTCAAAGTCGGTAGGTAGGTATGTAGTTTTGTACCAAAATACAATATTTCCTTGTTTTATGTGATATATTACTTATTATTAAACTAAGTATTAGTATTTGTACAAAAAATATGTTTATTTACAAGAAAAATAAGGTTCAATATTATATGTTATTGATCAGGTTGTTTGCTTCGCTTGAATGCGTTCTCTTAAAGTGATTCATTGCGCATATTATTATAATGTTAATACTGTAATGACTCATTTACAACTGTTATATAAAGAGGCCGAAGTTTATAATTATATACTGATAACCTTCGGGAAGAAAGCGGTCGTGGTTTAAATACCACTTGCATATAAACAGACAAAATTGGATGTAACAATATTTATTATTTAACATATAATAAACAAGACTGACTGTGTTAGCGTTTGTAAGGACTCTGTAACACAATTTTAGTATTTAAAAATTAACCTTAAGATTTATGATTTTCAAAGATAGGTAAATTAGAACGGTATATTATAAAAAAAAGTCATTAAAATCTTTATACAATAGGCGATGGTACACAATAAAAAAATACATGAATTGAAACTTCCTATTTATGAAGAAATAAAAAGAAAAGGAGAAAAATGGAAAGAAATCCTTAGGCATAAGTAGCATAGTACGAGGTATAATAATTGTGTTTTTTTTAGAGTTTATGTATTTTATTTCAAGCTATGCCAAAAATATAACTGGCTGGAAAAAACAAAAAATAATATATTATACCAACCTAAATTGAAAGCTACGTAGCTAGCCATTAAAGGAAAAAAATATTTCCTAAAAGTCAAAGATTGATTATAATCGGTAATTATTAATTATATATCGATATTGTTTTCTTTTTCCTAAAATATATCTAAACTGTTTATTTTATAATAATAACTAGCGACTCACCCTCGTTTCGCTCGGGTTCGTCCCTCCTTACGTTTTAACGTTTAGTATAAATTTCTCAGATATGACATAATATGTTCCCGCAGTAAAAAGTATCCTACATGTTGACCCGGATAACCAGCTATCATCATACCAAATTTCATTAAAATCCTTCTAGTGGTTTTTCCGTGATGTGGTAACAGATAGACAGACAAAAATTCTAAAAACTATAGGTTAGACTTCTGTATCGATAATAATGTCTATTTCAGTAAGATTTTCCAAAAAATATTTTATGTACAGATTCGGCTTAGTTACAATTTTATTATATGTACCTATAGATAAGAAGCTAGCCAATTCTTATAGCAATAAAAGTTATTAGGAAATCATTTTATTATTACCTATATAAAACTAATCAAAGATTAGTTAATATTGATGACACTTTATAAAAATAATTCAACTGGCCAGCGGAACAACGCATTGCCCATGCACTTACGCCTACGGCATTATTCATTGAATTGCTAGCAATCGAGTTCCGTGCAACGATGTTTGACCCCACTTATTAAGTTAACTATCATCCCCGGCCTATAAAGAGAATAAGCCCGTATTGGAAATCATTTAGGTTATCAACTAGTTTTTACTGAAGTGGAACTTGGAAAAAAATGTACTTATTTGAAATTTTATCATGAGAGAAAAAAAAAGAAAATTTTGTTTGATACAAGATATGTTCGAACCATATTTACTTCAAATTTTATTTTTCTATAATTTATTGTCAATAATATTCAAGAACGCTGTAGTGCCCAGCGTCTAAATATCCCGAAAATAACAAATGTTTTATAATTCTTCCGTGCCCATATTCGATAGTATTAGAGCATCGATCTCTATGAACTACGAAAGTAACGTCTGGGTATAATTCGCTGACACAATGCAGCTCAACATGACCCGCATATTCACCATCTTTTGACATTAAATGACTATAATCAGAAGGATCTTGTATAGAGAGACCGTACGATCCATCTCCGATTATAAAATCTTTATAACGATGCCAGTTACTGACCACTCTTTCCACAACTCTTAATCTTATTTCCCTGTGCTTTTCTTGTGTTCCAAATAAGCAGTACGACACAGATCTAAACATACAGTTTCCGTCACCTCTGATCGGAACAAGACGCCGAGACATTTTCTCTCCGTTACTGTATACTCGTTTTAGCCTTATTTAGATTCCTTCGTATTTTACAATCGATTTCTCGATACGTCATCATTTAAAAAGTTGGCATCTCCCTAGTAAAGTCAAAATTGTGTCACAATGTTAGTTATTTTGTGTTCAGCGTCCAAAAGTATCACAAAGTCAAGAATTCCTTCGAAACTGAAAGGTAAACACGACTTGCAAGCGGTAAATTACTGTAAATAATTTCGCTTTATATACACCATTTAAATTTATTTAAAAAATCTGTCATCTTCGTTAATAGATCATGTCATTTAACCTGCTTCCTCTGAAGATTTAAACAAGATCCGCCAGAGGCAGCACTAGTGGTGGGGTACTTATGTTTTAATTTCTATATTGACAGTAACGTTAAGCGCACGTATTATTATTAAAATAAATAAATTAATAAAACGAATAAAAACATTAAAAAAATAAACTACCATGCCTAGCAAACATTGTGCATTCGCGAATTGCACTTCGGACAGTCGATACAAGCAAAATGGTATAAGTTTGTGCCGTTTATAAAACCTCAAGTTGACACGAAAAAGTGTTTGGAGTGGATTCATTTGTCGCGAAGAACCTATTTAATTGAAAAAATAAAAGAATACATACTTATGTATGTACTAAACATTTCATAAATCCAAATGAGCCAAAAATAGAAAATCCAAATCCTTTTATCAGCGACTGTATCAAAGGTTAGTAACTGTTTATTTTATGAGGTTATATTGTAGATGTCAATCTATTAATATATTAAAATATAATAATACAAAAGTATAATTTTGCTATATTTGTATTTAAAATATGAATATATGCTTTAATTAATTCAATGTATTTTTTTAGATACCCAAAGATCGTCAAAGAGAGCAGAGATGTGATGTGAGCAGATATGTGTGAGATAGCGTTGAAAAGGATTTAAATTCTGTAATACGTAAACGTCCAAGGCTTGTCAGTGCTACTGATGATAATTCATTTACTGAAATAAATAGTATTAATAGTGCTAACAATTATAATATACCTACCTATTATAAATAAAACGACTACCAACGACAATTAACCTTTCTACCAGTACATTTTTGTTACCTGAAACAGGCAAACCACAGCATGCAAGCCATAGTTTTAAATCCTGAACAAGATGATCTTGGATTTTAGCAAATTTAAATTTTGCTCCACGTATATAATCTTCTGTTAATTCCATTTATACAACGTGCGTTTAATGTTACTCGTAATAGAGAAATCAAATCATATGTACCCTTCTACTACTGCTGTCTCTGGCGGATCTTTTTTAAATCAGAGGAAACAGGCTATTGGATAAGTTGTTGAAGTTTACTTGACAAGCTCTTTGCGATATGTTTGTACGATAGGTAAGGTTTAAAATCGTACCAATATCGATTTTATGACTATTCCATTAAAATATTGAATCATTAGACGTAATGATTCATGCTTTTTACATAGAATCTGCCCTATGTGTTTGTAAATTATTTAGATATTTAAAAATATTAGTTACGGAAAATGTTGACGGTATTATTTTTAACCTTTTTTATTAGAAGCTTGTATAATGAGGTACTTCAGTACATTATAATAATTGAATCTAATGCCCGAATCTTCGTTCTATTTTAATATCGGACGTATTTATCACAAAAAAGAAAGTTCTATAGAAATCCATTCCACTGCTCTCCTGTGAGTTCTAATTACACAAAGATAGAAAAAATTGAATTTTGTTATTATCTTTTTCATGACACAATGAGGTGCCATATTGATGCACTAAATATAAGAACATACCTACAAGTACTATAGTATATAAGTATTAGTAGTATATAAGTATTAAAAGGGGTCAAAGTTATTTTTATTTGAAGTGAAATCAATTTATTAATTCAGTACTTCACTTTGAGCTTTAGCTTTAATGAACCAGCAACATATGTAGGTAGGTACATTATGTATGTTCACAGGTAAGAAATCCTCTACGGACTAATCACATTCTTCAAGTAGGTCAAACACTGCTCTCATTAAGCTAAAAGTACTTTTGCAACTATTTGAATTTTATAAATTTAACATACGAATTTTTACATAGGTAGGTATAGAAAAGTAGGTAAGTCTTATAAAAAATTAAATGTATATATATACATATATATTCCTTTACATGAGAAATCATTGATTCCCCATTCAATCTTCCACCCCTCTTTACACCCCCTTATATATGATATGTTTTCTGGGATGAAAACTGTCCTATGTGATTCCAAGGGCCTCAAACTATTTCCATACCAAATTTACATACAGCCAGACAGACAGAGTTACTTTCGCATTTAATATTAGTATGGATATAAAAAGCTGGACTTTTTAGTGGGGCCGAACGTTGATACGAGTAAGTAGTAAGTCAGTCGACGAGTCGCGACATTGCCTTTGCTATATAATAAAAAAAGTTTTACGAGTGTACCTTAGGAGATAGACATATTATACTATTGGACTTTTCTGTAGATCTTTTTAAGACCTACAATTTTCTAGTACATTGTTTTGATGTATCTCTTAAGGTTTAGCCAACGATAGCCATACAAATTTCTAAGGACTAATCGATAGAACTAGTTATGGTGATTTCCCGTGAAATTGAAAAAAATTCTTGTAGTAAAAGTTATCCTAAATATTGACCCGAGTTATCACTACAAAATTTAGTTAAAATCGGTTCAGTACTTTTTGAGTGAAAAGCGCACATCGATCGACTATGTTAGGTTTATTATATTATGTATAGATAAGAATAGCTGCGAGTGTACCTTATCAGATAGTCATGCTTTTGTAGACTTTTCTGTAGGCCTTTTCAAGACCTACAATTTTTTAGTACAATGTTTTGATGATGTCTTAAGATTTAGCCAGCGGAATATTTCCAAGGACGACTCGACAAAACCAGTTATTGTGTTTTCCCGTGGGAAAGAAAAGATTTTCCTGAAGTAAATGGTATCCTAAAGGTTGACCCGAGTAATAAGTTATCGCTTCACCAAACATCTGTGGAAAACATCATCATACATCTGTATAAAAATACAGATATCTATAATATAAGCTATATAAATTTTATTAAAATAAACAATAACATTTAAATATTGCACAAGTGAATGTGATAGTAATAGATAGATATCACGTGTTTGCGTGAATTTATTCTTGGACATAGAAAGATGAGAAACATGAGTGTTTCAATTTATATTTTCAACTAGAGATTCGTCCTCGCTCCGCTCGGATTCGTCCCTAGTGACGTTTTAAATTTTAGTATAGATTTCTCAGAGATGAGATATTTTCCCGCAGTAAAAAGTATCCTATATGTTGACACGGATTTATAACTAATAACTATTAACAAGCAATCATCACACCAAATTTCAGAAAAATCTGTCCTGTGGTTTTCTCGTGATGCGTTCACAGATACACAGACTATGATGATGCAGATACAGAGACAGACAGACAGACAAAAATTCTAAAAACTATAAATTCGGCCTCTGTACCGAAAATAATGACTATTTCAGTAAGAATTTCCAAAAAATATTTAATGTACAGATGCGACTCAGTTACAATTTTATTATATGTATAGATAGATAAATACTTACATTTTCCCCAATAAATCGTAACGTTATAAAAATATTATATTAAATATATTTGACACAAATTGAGTAATTCTTTAACCACATTATTAAGAATAACTTACATACAACTATTAGGAGACATTTTTGTCTGTTTGAAACGAATCATTCAAAGTACTTATTTATTAAAAAAAGTAATATAAACAAAATTGATAACATATCTCGGGATCATTTTCAATTATTTGACATTTTTATATATCTACATGTATAACAATTTTAATATTTTAGCTTAGAACAAAGTGGGTTATACTGTATTATATTTTTACTCTTGACCTATTTTTATTAAAACTATAATTTCGTTTTCGTTCGCTCACATCACATTATCAAAACTTTGTTTATGAACGTAGAGACGTATGTATGTATTTCCCCCAGGCATGTCAGAATATTCACTCTAATATTCAGGGCATTTAAGGCGAACCGGGCACCTGGAAAATGATTTAGCTTTCCAAATTTGTTTTTGCTCGAGTATGTTTTTAGAGGCCTTGGCATAGCCTATGGATTATTTTCACGTTACGTATGAGCACATGAAATATGAGCTTCGCTATATGCAACAAATTTTATAGTAGAAATTATAGGACATACTTAATTTACAAGAATTTGTAAACTAGTAAATTGTTAGATGAATAAGTGTATGAAGTATTAATAAACTATAAAACTGCACTAAGCGAATATTATCACCTCCAGGTAAATTTCTAAGAAATTAATAACTAAGAAATCTATTGTTAACTGTAACGCGGGCGTGTCCGCGGTCGTGGAGGGACTATTAACATCTATCCCGACATTTTAAACATGTACGATAAATCCTCAACTTTTTAAACTTTAACTCCGACTGAGACGTTATTACACCTACATTTTCCTCAATATACATTTACATGGTGTCGTATTCGCAATTCGTGACAGCATTAAATATTGGGTCACCGTCGCACCTACTTTTCTGACATCATTGACCTTTTTCCATTTCATACAGCGTTTTTACTATAAATTGATTTATGCTTTTGCATATAACTAATGTAAAAAGAAATTGTTAGGTATTAACATATATTGGGTATTAAATATTTATCACCTTTTACTTTTTAGACATAATACAAATGATATAAAAGAATTTATTGGTAGATCTGAAGTAGGGTCGTTCTTCGACCATTGACGTAATCTGAAAAATATTGTATTTTTAACACAATAAATATACCTACAATATATATACAAGACTATTGAATTTGAAAATGAATGACAACTTTTCTATAATAACTTGAACTATTTCAATTTACTGCTCCTGTTTGGAAACTCAAGTATGATCCTTCCATTCACGACATGGAACACACATCTGTTCACCAATTTTGATAAAAACAACTGAGTATTTATCAT